CGCTCCCTCGGGACGCGGGGGAGGGCCCACCTGAAGCCGCTGCAGGACGCTGTTGGCCCGGCGGTCGAACACAACGAGCGTGTGGTCCTCACTGCCCGAGATGATGTGCCGGTCATCCGCCAGCAACGCCAGCACCGCGCTGGAGTGCAGCCGCCGGCTCTTCAGCAGGGCCGGGCCGACTTTGTGGGTGACGGGCCAGGGAGGAAGGTGACATCAGAGCCCCTCAGAGGCACCCCCAAGCCAACCCCAGGATCCAGGGCCTCTGTGGTCTATGGCAAAACCCTTGGTCAGCTTCCTGCCCCCACTCCCTATCCTACAAATGACCTGCCTTTCCTCTCCTGCTCCAGCTGAATCCAGGCCTCCCAGGACCCCAGGCCTGTGCCACCCCCATCTCCTGTCCCACATCTCTCCTCCTGTCCCATCTGCTCCCAGTACAGCGTAGACAGGCAAGTCCCAGCATAAAATGCCAACTCATGCCAGCAGAGTCACCGCCACCTCTACCCCCACTTCAGCTCTGCCTGGATGAGGTGCACTGGCCCTTCAATTAAACGACATAAGAATTAAAAAATAACAGAAAAGGCTTATGTGCCGGGCAATGTTTGTTCTAGGGATTTGATGTAAACTAACAATCCACCAAGTGTTCTTATTATCATCTCCTCCCATTAACCCGAAAGGGCTGGAGTTGTTATCTGATTTTACAAGATAGGAAAACTGAGGTTCAAGTCTGACTGGTGTCGTACAGCCAGGGAGTGGGAGAGCCTGGATTCTCGGGGCTGTCTGCCTCCCACGGGATTCCGGCTCAGAGACCCCCCGCTGGGTACCCTCTATGTCCTTTACTCCACCCCCACCCAAAAGCCCCCTGTGCTGCCCCCAGCACAGCACAGGCCATTCTGAGGGGTTAGCATCGGCGTATGTGACTGTCACCCAGCCAGGCTGTGAGGCCCGAGTGCCTCCTTCCCCAGCATGACCCTGGGACCCCCAGGCAGCCCTGTTCGCCCCAGTCCAGGCCCCTGGCCCACCTCTGGGGTCGTAGACTGTCACCTTCTTGTCATAGGTGCCGGTCACCAGGATGTCAGGCTGGTAGGAAAGGCACAGCACAGCTGCCTTGCCCCTGGGGACACACAGAGCACGAGGCTGGGCTGTGGCCAGGCAGGGCCCTGCACACCCCCGGCCCCTCCTCAAGACCCCTCACACTTTATCTCTCCAAACTGCTGCCCGTCAGCCGCCATGTCCCAGAGCTTCACCGTGCTGTCCCAGGAACCGGAGCACACTCGGTGGTCCAGCGCTGCCAGCGACCACACCCAACCCTGTAGGACCAGAGCCATGTGACAGGTCTCACTTCACAGATAACTAGATGGAGGGCCCAAGGAGGAAGATAACCAACCCAAGAACCCAGAGCCACAGCAGAGATTGGAGCTGACGTCTGCAGGTCTGTCCGTCTGCAGAGCTCAGGACACGCACACCCCCTCACCCAACAATATTCCTACATCAAGTTCTGCGGAGACTCAGAACCTGCGATGGTTTGAGGCCACATGACAATGAGATGAAATATAGGGCCTCCGTTCCGTGGCGTGGGTAAATTACCTCCCCTCCCTCAGTGTCCTCATTGGGAAAACAGGCATAAAAGCCGTCCCTGTCTCAGGAGGTAATTTACAGAGTGCTGGCTGATGACGGGCTTATTCCTCTCCAGACCCTCTGAGAATACTGTCAAGTGTCCCATTCTACAAATGAGAAAACTGAGGGCACAGAAAGGTCGAGTTCCTCGCTCAAGGTCACACAGCCAGGAAATAGCAGAATGAGCAATGGAACCCAGCAGCCTGGCTCAGAGACCAAGCTCTTGGCCACCAGCCTAGATCGCCCCACTGACTGGCGAAGGTGCCTCTCCATGGCCACTTCACACAAGAGGACAGTCATGCTCAGAGCTATCAGATCCCCCAGGGCAGCCTCCTCACACCTTGCCCTGGGCCTCTCCAGGCACACCTGACATCGATTAAGCACCTACTGTGTATCCAAGTCTGAGTGAAGCTCTTAATGCCTGTTCATTTCGTTCATCCTAACTGACCCTGGACAGAAATAGAAACTGAGGCCCCGAGAAGTCCTACATCACACCCAAAATCACACTAATAATAGCAGAGTAAGACTGTCATCTGTCCGGTCTGGTGCCAAAACCCGAGCCCTTAGTCACAGCACCCTACCTAGGCCTCGAGCTTCCTATAGCCTTACCTTGTGGGTGCTGCTCTGGGTGCCAAGGGCCTTGACCAGAACCCGGCTGGGTTCCACCCCAAGCTGCCGCAGGTCCCACAGGTTGACATTGCGGTCTCGGGAGCCCGACAGACAGAATGTCCCACCCTGGGAGGGGAGTAAGGAGATATTGTTGGGGTCACCCTGGCCCACCCCGGCCTGGCCTCTCACCAAACCCCATCTCACCTGGAACAGCAGCACTGAGTCAATGGAAGCAAAGTGCCCATCAGCCAGGCAGAAGTACTCGGCCCAGCGCCCATCCTCCGCCCAGCGTGACAGGTGCTGCTCCAGCTCAATGCAGGCCGCCGGCCAGTCAAAGTCCTCCTCTGTGGGGTACCACAAGTGGGGTCTCTGGTGGGCAGGCACTCTGCTACCCACACCAGTTATCCAAGCCTGCGCCTGGTTCCCAGGGAGCCCAACCAGCACCAGACTTGGAGAAATCCCCCATCCGGACCCCTCACCCCACTCCAAGGAGGCCCAGGCTCTCGCTTTGGGACCACTGCCTCACCCACCTTCGAAGCAGGTCTGGGACTACCCCTCACCCCTGTTTCCAGAAGCTGGGGGAGTGGAGTCTCAAGACCACCTCCTCAGGCCTCAGCCCCCAACCCGTGTCTGGGAGATAGCAGCCTCAGGACATTAAGGTCCTTCCTCGCCCCCGACTTAGGTCTGACCTTAACCCTTCGGTCTGGGCACAGGAGCGAGGACTTTCTGCCTCGGCCATCCAAACCAGACCCGGGAGAGTGTTCCTTCTCAAACTATAAACCTGGCAGAGCTGTCAAGATGCAGAACCCAACCCTAGGTGTAGAGATTCAGTGATATGGATGGAGCCCAGGCATCCATGTTTATCAAGCTACTCGGGAGACTCCCATCTCTTCAAGGCCACCAAGCTGTCTTATCCCCGAGGGACCGAAGACCTCGGGGGCAGGGGTGACGACCACCAGCCCCTACCTAAGATCCCAGGCTAGACCCTGGGCTGGAGGATCTGTGATTTTGGCATCAGAGATTCCCAACCCCAAACCCTACCTTGGGCTCAAGAGTTGCAGGTTCAAGAGTCCCTGCCTCGCCACCACCTAGGTCAGGGCCCTAGGGGTAAGGGATCACTAGTTGCTGCCTCAGCATCTTGACCCAGAACCTGAGGATTCTTGGGTTTACCCTGAGCCCCAAGCAGATTCCTACAATCTGAGACTTTCAAGTCCCTGTGTCAACCTCCAGCCAGGGATCAGGGCCTTTGTACCACCACCAGAACCCAAGCCTGATGATGGCTGGATCCTGAGTTCACAGGACCCCACACCCCCAGACAGGTTTCTACAGCGTCAGGACCCCAAATGTCTGCCTCATGTTCCACTCAGAATTCAGGGACTCTGGCACCACCAGTAACCACCTCAGCCTCCACGGGAGCTAGGACAGCCAGGAAGTCTGCTCTAGGGGCTGTGCTCGCAGCATCCCAGATACTCCCTCCCGGGCCCTAAAGCTGACCTGGGCGGGCGACCCTGGCCCCCCGCGTGCGCACCTTCCACCACTGGATAGGGTGCGCGTACGCGGCGCTGCGCGCGGAGCCTCCAGGTGACATGGTCACGCACAAGGTCGCGCAGCGCGTGGCACACGCGCGGC